TCGCGCGATCCCCCCCCGCACCCCTCGCTCCGCGCGTGGGGGCGTGACGTCAGATGTCAGCCCGGCGCGTGACGTCACAATGCAGAGCGGTGACTCACCCCGCGGCGGGACGGGAGGGGGCGCGCCGCGGTCGCGCGTGGCCGTGGGCAGCCCCCCCTCAAGCCCCTAACCCCCCAACCCCCCACGACGCGCACCGCATCCCTCCCCGGCCCGGTTCAGCCCCGCGCTTACCGGAGCCCGTCGGGGCGGCGGCGTCGCGGCTCGGGGCGGCGGGCGGCTGCGGGGCGGCCGTGTCGGCGGGGACGGGGGGCATGGCGCGGGGGGCCGGGGACCGGGGGCGGCTCGGGGGCGGCTCCGTGCCCGGGGGGAGCTCAGAAGCAATCCACGAAGCACTTGAAGGTGAGTCGGAAGAACCTCATTGAGGGCGGCGGGGCGCGGCGGGGCGGGCCGGGCCGGGCGGGCGGCTCAGAGCCGGGCTGCGGGGCCGGCGCCGCGCGGCCGCTCCGGGGCTCTCTGCGCCGCGGCACCGGGCGGCGGCGGAGGCAGAGCCGGGCCGCACCGCCCCTCGAGAGCCATTGGCCGCGCCGCCCGCCCGCGGCTTGCCGGGACTTGCAGTCCGCCCCACGGGCACCGGGACGCGGGCACCGGGCAACGGGACGCAGCGGGTGACGGGAGGGAACGCGGGGTGAACACGGGGTGTTCGGTGCAGTAGGGCGCACCCGGGGACACGGAACGCCCCGGACACACTGGTGAACGTTGGCCGGTATGAAATTCAGGTCGGAAAAGACCTCTGAGATAACCTAACGTGATTCCGATTCCAGTTCAACCTTCAGCCCACTCCCACCGCGCCTACCGAGCCCCGTCCCCAAGCGCCACGTCCACCGCGGTACTCGGGGCCATAGGGCACAACAGAGGACACCCGGGTGCACCCGGGGACACGGGGCACTACAGGGCACTACGGGGCACTACGGGGCACGAGGGCACAGCGGGTGTTTCCCAACAGCAGTGCCACGAGGCACCGAGACGGCGGGTGACAGCGCCGGGACGCTGCGTGACACGGGGCTCGCCCGGCACCGAGGGCTGCAAGGAGCACCGGGGACGTGGAGCGGAGGCAGCGCAGTGGGCACGCAGCAGCCAGGGCGCACCCGGCTCGGGGGCAGCAGGAGGTCCGGGGCAGCCAGCAGGCAGCGGAGGCGAGCTGAGTTCAGCGAGTTTAATGAGAGCAGACAAACCCCGACCCCTGCCCGCCCCCCACCCCTCCTGGTGCCCAGCCCGGCCCGCACCCCCAGGGCGGGTGCCCGCGCTGCCCTAATCGACTTCTTCCATGCTGCTGTAGGAGGGGGCCGGGCGCTCGGCGGGGCTGGTGAAGCGCTCGGGAAGGCCTTCCGCGACCAGCGGCGGGGCTCCTTCGGGGGCCAGGCCGGATCCAAACGGCACCGGAGTCAGTCCCTGCAAGCAGAAGGCGGCCGTGAGACACTGCACGATGCTGCATACCTCTCAACTCCCACTCTGCTCCCTACAAAGGCCCCAGAAGCGGGGCGGGTGGAAGGCAACGAGCCCGGAGCAGCCCCGCAGACGGCCCCGACCTGCCCGAGCGCTGCAGCCAGGCTGCGGCACGCTCGGCACAGCCCGCTCGGCGCTGCCGCTTCTGCCCGTCCGGCACCGCTGCCCTGCGCCGCCGTGATCGGGACGGCGCCCGGCACGGCTGCGGGGCCGCAGGGTGGGCAGCAGCAGCACAGGAGAGGAGGGGAGGTTCCGGGAACGGAACCCCCACCTGCAGGGCAGGCAGGTGCAGGGAGCGGTGCATGGCCCCGAGCCCAGGGCTGCAGCGCCAGGCGGAGCAGAGGTCACCCCGCAGGCGCCGGGCGCTGACTCAGCCCCACGAGGGCAGCGCCGTGGGCGCGTGGGGGCCCCAGACCGCAGACAATGAGGCGACTGTTCCAGGACAGGCACGTCCCGACGGCGGGAAGCACCGGGCTGGGACCCGTGTGCAGGGACCCGTGCGCAGGGACAAGGGGACGGCCGTACAGCTGCGCGACGGGGGCAGGGTGGTGGGCTCTAGGGGCTGCGTTGCCCCTCTCAAGCCCCCCAGCGCCGACGGGGCCCCGGCCATTCCCACTGAGCATCCTTCCTGAGACAGCCAAGGGCACTGCCGGCAGGACGGCATCGGAGACGGAAAAGGAAGTCACAGGGCTCTGAAGTCACCTCTCAAACCCAAACATTCCCGAGCAGCCTGAGCCTCGCTCAGCCAAGGGCAACGTGTCTCAATGTCATACACTGGTGCCGCTACAGCCCTTGCCCCAGCCCGGCAGGACTGCATGCTGCCAGGCCCTCCATGCACCCAGCGCCCTGCACGTGCCACAACTGCTGCCCCACGGCACAGGCAGGCAGAGCTCTGCCCGCAGCCTGCTGCACCCAGCTGAGCATAGGGCAGTGCTTCTGTGTTGGCTGTGGAACCAGCTCAGGGGGCAGGAAAGGAACACTCCATCCAGCTGCCTCCTGTCCTGGAGCAGGCTCGGGTACAGAGCCCCTGACTGCTGCCACAGTCCCATCACACCGGAGAAGGTGCTGCAGATCTTTGGAAAACCTGCCTTTATTGGCACACCTCACAACGTGCAGGAAAGCGACACTGCCAGCACAGCCTCCCGCTGGCCTCCTGCAGCCTAGATCCTGCCTGCTGCTCCCCGAGCCCACACCAGTTCCCCAACGGGGTGCTGCCCCATGCTCCCCCAGACCCATCCCAGGCAGCTGCACACAATGTAAACCGGGACTCCCAGACAGGCAGGGGTAGCCCACACAGTTCAGTAAGTACTGTGGATGCCCCCTGGGGCGAGGAGCAGCGCTGTGGCCAAGCCCTCTGGCTGAGCAAGGAAGCACAAAGCACTCTATGACAAGTCATCCAGTCCCAGCACAGGAGATGATGCTGGCCTGGAGGGATACAGCTTGTGCCAGCTCTGAAGAATGTGAGGCTCCTGAAGCAGGGAGAGGCAGTGGGACCAATGATCATGTCAGGGCATCCTGTTCTCACAAAAGCCTCCGGGCAGGGCTCTGCTTGTTCCCAGGATGTTTCCAGTGGCACTGTCCCTTCCTGAGCAGCATGTACCAGTAGGGCCAGCCCCGATGCAAGAAGGCAGCCAGGGCGAGGGCGGGCTGAGGGGATGCTGGTTCTGGGCTGTGCCTTGGCAATGCTGGGGACCGGCCACGCAGCCCTGCCAGCTGGCATAGGAGATGCCAGAGCAGACAGACAGGAGCCGACGGCTCTATGCTTCCCTTGGAGAGCATTGGTGCCCACAGCATGTATGTCTTTCCCACAGGGTTCCGTCCTGCTGTCCAGAGGGTGCTGTCTGGCCACCTGGCAGCTCTGACGTCTTCACCGTGCAGCATTCTGGCACAGTGCGTGCCCCAGCAGCCCTGCTCTGCAGCTGGCTGTGTGCCCACACCTATCTCCAGCGGGTTTGGTAGATGAGTGGGTAGAACACGTTCAGGAAGAGAGCCACAATTGCGGCCGTGGTGGCCAGGATGAAGTATTTGACGCAGCCTTCATCTGGGTGATGGGGGGTACCCGGACTCCTCTTCTGGCCACGGGGCCTCCAGGAGTTTCTCACAGGCCTTTGGGGAGCCTCAAGCTGCAGCTCTTGTTCTTCAGCCTCCAGTTCCTGCCAGATCAGAGAAGCCTGCGATGTGGAAACCTGCGTCAGCACTTGGAGAACACAACTGGCAACACCCCTCGCCATCCCCCGGGGCAGGCGGCTGCCTGCGAGCCCAGTCCCGTGCCCCACCAGCCCGCCTCCCCATGCAGCATGGTCATGCCCGCCCCCACAGCTCCTAGGGGCTGCCTTGGTGGGCTCAGGCGATGCAACAGGAGAGCAGTCTTTGCAGGAGCCAGCGCTGGATCCCTCTGGAGTCGATTCTGTGGCACTGACGGATCCATGCAGGTGAGGGAGCAGGTATTGAGCTCATCACAGCTCAAGTTTGGCGATCCCAATGTGACTATTCAGATGACGGCCAATTCAGAGGCAGCTTGCATGGCAGGAGGCACGGTCGCACAACCAGTCCCAGCTCTCCTTTGGTGGGTTGGGATCCTTTGAGAGCCAATCACAGTCCAGCTTCCAAGAGCATTATCTGCAGTCACAGCCCAGCCCTTCGCTGCGCCGGTGATCACGCAGGGCAGCCAATCAGGATGCAGGATCTCTGGAGGATGCAGGTGATTCCTGGCACTTGGATACCACTCAGCCCCAGTGGGATCCAATACATCCCATCACCACGTGGGACACAGTGCTGCTGAGGTCGTGATGAGCCCCAGGGGATCCAGTGAGGCCAGGTGCTATGGGGCACACAGTGATCTCCAGCACAGCAGGGATCCCACGGCCAGCACAGGACAATTAGAGCAGCCTTGCTGTGGTTGCTCTAGCACACACATTCTTGTGATGGGAGCAGCCCCAGTTCCCAGCAGAGAAGGCTGAGCCAGGATGCCCAGCCCACGTGAGCCAGGCCAGCTTGGATGGCCAACCACAAGGTCCCTATGGGGCACACGTGTTCAGCTGTGCCACAGCCAAACACCGTCCTCAGATCCAACGAGGCCAGCACAGAGGGGACTCAGGGGAACCTGGCAAGCAGGTGATTTGCTACAACACTAGCCCAGGCCTTTTTTTCTGATACTTCAGCAAAGATCAGTTCAACCATGCCCTACTGATGAGTGCTGAAAGCACTCTTTCTGCCAGCGCACCCTCCTTGCCTTTCCTGCAGCACAACGTGCTCTGGGGGAGTTTCCCATCAGCATCCCGCAGAAGCTCACAGGCTCAGTACCTGTATTCACCTTTTCTGCAACTGGAGTGGCCCCGTACTGGGCCACAGCAGAAAACATCCCCCCCTATCCGCAGGAGGCCATACCTCCTGGCACAGCCAGCTCCCATTCCATTGTTCTCAGCCTTAGTACAGAGCCTAGCAGGGCACAGCCCCCCTCCTGCCCATTCCTGTGCCCCAAAGCAGCTCTGTGCCCTCCCACCAGCACTCCCAGCCCAGCAGCTGGAACCAGCTCTCCCACCACCCCTTAGGGACAGGACTGTTCCAAGCTCACAGCCAGAACAAGGTAAGACAGACCCCAGAGCCCATCTGGCACACGCTCTTTAGTCTCAAAGGGAGGCAGCACAGCACCGCAGTGGTGCTAGGCTCCGTGGGGTCCAGCAGGTGGGCACATGCATATTTCAAGGCTCTGTGGCTCCGACGCTGGAAGGGACACAAGCTCTCACCTGACTGGCAGCAGC